ATAGAAGTGAAAAATGAAATTAAGTTGAGAAAATTTCATCAGTATGTAGAAGCAAAATCACAAAAAAAAAAGGAAAAGCCTACATACAGTGCATACAGTTCTGTGTATAAGGATTAGCTGACAGAAGTAAGACAGAATAGGAACTTGAGGATAACTTTATTTCAGTATGACTCTTTTACTGGTACTCAACATGTTGCTTGATACAAGACTTTCCTTTGTATCTGTCATCTTCTGGTACACAAATTTGTTTTAAACTCTCTTTAGAATGAGCTGCCTTGACTTTCCAGCAGTCTATAAAATAAAGAGGAAACAACTGCCATGTATTAAAAGATGAACACTGAGCCAAATCCAGGACACATTCAAAAACTATAGAATTGCAAAGCTGTGGTCTGAGGAACCTGGAAAGAGCCATTTGTTAGTGGCTTACTGGGTGACTGAGCAGGTCACTGCAGTTCCTTCCATCTCACAGAGATAATTTACACAGTGCTTTGATACCTTAAATGTGCTCACTGTTGATACTAAATTTATATAAAAATATGCACTTTAAAATATAAGACATTGTAGAAAAAAAGTCCTACATTATTTCTAAAATTAACAGTGGTGTTCTGTGCTGGTGAATCCAGTATGTGTAAAAACTGTACACATTTAACATTACCAGTGACAATTAACACATTTTTCTGTCTTTGCCATGCTACTTGGTTTCCATACATTTCATTTAAATTAGATCCAGCCTTAATTATTTCCCCTGGATATCTCATTGTTTCTCCTTAGTATTAGATACTAATGATTCATAATATCCCTGTTTTTGCTATGAATTCATGCATACTACTTTTTTTTCCCTATAGTTTTTTTTGTTTTGTCTTGTTTTGTTTTTCATTTAAAGAAATGGAACAGTAGTTTAAATTAAAAAAAAAAAAAAATTAATTATATAAACTAATGGAGCAGTGTACAGCACTTATTTGTATTCCCACAAATCCAGAAAATCCAGTAGTTATCAATAAAGCGTAAGAATACCCCATATCTGCCTTCCCTCATGAAAATTTGTATTCTATTTAAAAACTTTTCAATTAATTTTCCTTCTGATTTCAAGCACTACATTCTGTCCCAACTAAGACAGCTGGAAACATTTCTGCATGATTTTGAATGCTTGGATATTTTGGCACCTGAAAAAGCAAACAAACAAGCAAACAAACAAACAAAAAAACCTGAACCACTGCCAAAAACACTGCTTGGAAAAGACCTTTCAGAGCTGATCCTATGGAATTATGACTTTTTTAAACAAACAAAAAAGAAAAAAAAAAAGAAAAGCCTCAAGGCCTCAAGCTCAATCATTGCAATTTGTAGAGACCATATACACTGAAAGAAATAAATAAATTTTAAAAATCAAGTGACTACCACTTTTACTTAATGTTACTTGGAAGAATTCTTTGTAAATGTAAGAACTCAGGTTGGTGGAATGATGTTGATGCAAGAAAACAACCTTTTATTTTGAACAGACTTCAAATACTGCTTTAAGAACAAGCACTTATAATTATGTAAGATTTAAACACTGTTTGCTCTGACAGTAACTGTGGTGTGTTATCCAGTTCAAACTGCTTACAGTGAGTAAAAGAGAGAGGATTTAAACAACATAACCAGTTCCACATTTAGCCAGCATTCAGTTCAACGAGCACATATGCAGTTATTATCAGCTTAAAAGTAAATCTTCAGTTTCCCTACTTAAACATTTAAGTTTTAATGTCCATCAGAAAGGCTGCAATGAATAATTTAATCACTTCTGTCCACTTCAGGCTGCTACACAGTGAGCATTTCTGCAAAGCTGTGGAAGGCACTGGGCAAGTGTCAGCCCTCCTTGTAATTCTACGACCTCCGCGCGCAAACACTGCGGCCAACTCGGGAGCTCGGAGGGAGGGGAGGAAGGTGAAGGGATCACAGCAGAACTGCACCAGAGCAGCGGAACACTTTAGAGAGATGAAAGGTCAACGCGGGCTTGACGCTGTTGAGGTGTCATTTCCTCTGTTTGTCCCTTGGTGGAGTTCTTGAGTTAGTTTCTCCCTTCAGTCAAACGGTTTAAACTGCTTTCTGCGGGGTTTTTGTCGTTGTTTTTCCCCCGCGTTCGAATTTGCTGTCATGTTTACTGTATTTAACCTTTTCCTCGTATTATTATGAATTATGTTAGTTCCTAGCTCACCTGTTTTTTTCCCCCCTTCTTTGATACGCGTGCTTGTGTGCGCACAAACTAATAATAATAAGCATTGATTAATGCACAAAGCTATATAGATGATTAAATAACCCGTCTCTTGAGGTTGGCTCCCACTGCAGAGCAGAGAGGTAAAGCTCTGGTCGGATGCACCGACATTCCCCACCTGCAGAACCGAACCGTCCCAGGCTGGGGGCGGAGGGAGCAGGGATGGCCGGAACACAGCCGAACAAACGCTAATGGCATCTGCATATCTCAGCCGTGAGCCCGTCTTTCCAATCACTGCCACAATAGGAAAGCCCCTCTGCAGAGCTTCCGAAAGCAGCGTTGGGGGTGCAGAGGAGCGGGGAAGCTCCCAGCCTGCTTTAGGATTCCCCACGTACAGCAGGCTGCGAATGTCAGCAAGACGGATTCCTTCCCACACGCACGATGCCACCTCCGTGGCCTTATCAGATGTTCCCTTTAAGGACACAAGCTCTTATTTCCCCTCTGTATATCTCCGGTATCTCGGGCTATTTTATTTATTACAGCCGATTACGCTGGCGATCCCGCTTCCCACTTGATCTCACCAGATCAGGAGGACAAACGTCTGAGCGCGTGTGGGCGTCTGTGTGCATCGGGTGGGCGGGGGGGGGCTGCGCTGCGCAACAGCTTTGCCCGGCGGACTGGGGTGGGGAAGTCCTCCCCCTTCCCGTAGCCGCTGGGACTGGCGCTCCGCGGCGCCAGGGGGTGGCTGGGCTTCCCTTCCCCCCCATCTCCCCAGCACGAAACGAAATAGCGGGATGAGGAGGGGGGGCCCAGGCCACTCCGGCCCCCTCCCGGCAGCCGGGACACGTGGAGCGAGAGCGGCGCTGCCATCCACCATGCAGCGCACGTCGGGCCCATTTCCCACGCCGTTTGCCTGCCCTAGGGGAAGAAAAGGAGGAGGGGGAGGAAGGGGGAATGATGGAGAAGGGGGGGGGGGGGGGCCGTTACCTCTGCTCCGAAAGAGGAACCAATCCACTGTGAAGGACGAAGCACTCCCGAGCAGAAAAGACATTGCACATTCAGAGGGAGATTGCATGTGAAGACACTGCAAAGGAGAGAGAAGGGGAGGGGGGCCGGGGCAGCCCGAGTGTGAAAGGCGCAGTGTGTGTACGGAGGCCGGGAACGGGGCGGGGGGCAAGAGGGGAGTGGGGGATGGGGAGGGGGACACTACACATGGCAAGAGAAAGAGATCACTCATTCGCTTGGAAAACGCACTCGCCTAGCAAACCGCGGTAGTAGATATAGGGGACAACGGGGAAGAAGCCGCGGCCAAGAGGAGTCCGCGCAGTGCAACAGCCTCGAATCCAATTAAAGTTTATGGCGGGGAGGTTACAAGCTCTCCCACCCCGCCCTTCCTCTGGCGAAGCCATTCAGTGTCCCGATCGCATTATAAAGCACAAAGGGATGGGAATAGTGGGATCTTCGGGTTGCGATAGTGTGGCTGGTGCGGGGAGCAGTGTGATGCAGCGTGCTGGCATTCCCTGCGTGCTGCTATGTCGGCATCTTACACTTCCTCCTCTCGGAGCTCCAGAACAGCGAGGGGGAATTTTGATAAATTCAAGTTGCTCGGTAAATATAATAGGGATTTGGTATTAATCCTACTTAACCCGCTGCGAAGATGCTGAGCTGCCGAGTCCCCCTCCTCCGGCCGGGACTGCGGCTATGAGCACTGAGCCTGCGCCGAGCCGCGCTTTCTCGCTGATGCTGCAGATATAAAGCCGAGAATCTCCGGCATTTGTGGGGGTGGGTTTGTGCGTCCTGGCGAGAGTGGCCGGGCCGGGAAGAAACCCCGCAGACCTCCGGAGCGGTTCCTCCCGCCCCCGCTCCACACAGCGTGGTTCTGCCCCTCGGGGCACCCCGGGGAAAGAGGTGGCAACCTTCCCTCCCTCCCACGTTCACTCACCGCCCCGAATGACAAAGGCACACTGCGAGCAGAGCTTTGAACCACTTCAATATCCGGCCACTTTCTCTCAAATGTCATCGCGGTGAATGAAAGACAATTCGCTATACTCGCCCTCGTGTGCTTTATTTTTTTTTTTTTTTTTTTTTTCTTTCCTTTTATTCACAATTACCATGTAATGCCAGAAGTCCTCACATACAGAACCCGCAGTAACTTGTTTTCCCACATGAGCACGAGGGGGAGGGGGAGCAGTTGGAGTCGTGCCCTCGCTGCTCACACACTGGGCTGCTTCCCACTGGAGGCCTCGCATCGCCCTTGCTCCCCTCTGCCCCCCGAGTTCCGAGAGGACAGTACAGCCGCGGGATTCACCAGAGGCGCGGGGGAAGGGGCACGTAGATGCCATCGACAATTAAATAGCACAAAGTCAAAAGGAGAAGCGAACAGGAGACGCAGGAATAAACAAAGTTGAGTGGAGAGGTTCCACGTTAAAGTTTATTTCCCTCTCACCCTGGTAGGTGACGCTACATTTTAGCAATCATCGAAGCAGAAATTCTCTGTTTGAAAATAAATCTGTGATGACTTGTACATGTGCTCGTTCTCCTGACCCTCTCAACCCCATTCCTGACTTTTTTCTTTTTCTTTTTTTTTTTTTCATGCTTGGAAACCCACAAACACGCTGAAAGAACACATTCGGATCATGGCAATCGGAAGTACACGAGCACAAAACCCGAAAGGCTTCAATAGCAATGGGAAACAGGACGAAAGTCTGAGGTCAGGGGCAGCTCCCTCCTCCCCGGGGTTATGAGCAGTTCCAGGGACTGCAGCTATGTCACAGCAGCACGGACGAGAAAGGGGGAGGTGGGAATCTGTGCTAAACGAGTTTCCTTACCAGCACGATTCCGCAAAACGCAGAGCCCCCAACGTGCAGCAGCTCTGCCTAAGAGAAAGGCGAGTAAACATTTGCTTAAAAAATCGTTGCTCGGTTCACAGTCTACAGCGGAGGTGGGGAGGGAGTGAGTAGGAAAGAATCGCTCCAGATGCCGGGTTGGAGCCGGCGGCAGCAGCAGCAAAGCTGGCTCTGAGAGCTGAGCTATCCCGCTCGCAGCGCAGCATAGAACAGCACAGCCGCGGCAGGCAGAGGGTAAGGCTGGGCTTGTGGAGCGCAGCGCTTGGCTCGTCCTCCTCCTCCCTCCTCCTCCTCCCTCCTCTCTCGCTCTCTCTCTCCCTCTCTCTGTGCATGTAGAGCAGGCGGCTGTGCTGCAGCGTCAGGGAAGAGCTGCCGAAAGAGACTCCAGCAGCTCCCACCACTTTGGGCAAACTTGCCGGTTTAACAGCTTTTTTTTTTTTTTTTTTTTTTTTTTTTTCCTTCCGAGTGGGAAGCTCCTCAGTTGCCATTCAGCATTTTAAAGCACAAGCTGCTCTGCCGTGAAAGCTCCCGAGCCACACTGCTCTGAAAGGCACAGGAGGGAATACACAATCGCAGATTTCACCCGCCGTAGCGGTGCAGACCCCAGGAAACAACTGACTGATTGCATTTTATTCGCAAATAGAACTCCGTGTGGTTTTTTAATCGCGTCGCAGCTCTCTTCCCCTCCCCTTTGCCATTCCGCTTATATGGATGTAATTCAGAATCCGTGTTAATTCACGTGGGGGATCCAGTTACATCTCGTTCCGCTCCGGGTATGTTAACGAGAGACCAATAATCGCCTTTGGACACATAGTTTTGTCGCTAACCTTTGAACTGAAAGGATCGAGTTCAGATCTGGTTACCTGCATTGGGACGGGAAGGAAGAGGCGAGAGAGAGAGAGGAGAGAGAGGGAGAGGGAGACTGCAATCTCATTTGTGAATCGCGCTCAGTGCTGCAGCTCCAGATTGCTATAACACATGCAGTGCAAATGCAGGTAAGGCACACACACAAACCGCGGATGCGAAAACAAACTTGGGACTGTGGTGTGTGTGTGCTCAGATCTACAGCCTTGCAAATTCCGGGCAAACGGCTTCTGCAGTTTCTGTCTCGTTGCTTTGTGACTAATGACCTTGCGCAGAGTTGGTAAAAAAAAATCCTCTCCGGAGAAAGAGCTGAACATTGTAGGCGATCTCTGAAGATGGATTTAGGTGCTTTTCTGCCAACCAAAGGGGATATTCCACGGACTGCTCTGTAATACACGGGGTGCTTCTGCTACCCATTGTGCAGCTACCGACATTATTGGGATTTTCATTTTTTTTTTTTTCTTTATCTTTTTAAATTATTATTAATATTTTTGAAGAGCTGCCTATGCTAAGAGGATCTGGAGTTCTCCCGGACATGAGCCCGTTGAATAAAGCAAATCACATTTTTTTCCTGTGTGTGCAGATAGGGGAGAGAATAAATCTAATGCGTTTGTCGTGAACGACTGAGAGGGCGAGAGAGAGAGAGAGAGAGAGAAGAGAGAGTGTGAATTGTAGTTAACTCCGGTGTCGAAGAAGACGACCTGGGGGGCTTCAGATAGCACGGTGCTGCTCCGGCTTTTATTGCAAACCTTGCAAAGTGATTACAGTAAAATCAGGAGGAGGAGGAGAAGGGGGAGGAGGAGGAAAATCCCATCCTATCTGCCGAGATGAATCTTTAAAAAGCAAAATACACTGTCCCGTGAACTGTAAGTATATCGCAGCTGGGAGGCAGGGCGAGCAGCGGAGGAGGCAGCAGCGGGGTTTTGCCCACCGATTGCACCAGCCATGAGACGCTAAGTTTCCGGGAGCAGAAGGATTCTATAATTGCTCGCTCGGCCGCTCTGTTGGCTCATCAAGGGAGTTTATCGGGGAGATAGAGGAGGGGGGGGGTCGGGGAGAAGAAGATGAGGAAAATGCGGACTCTTCTCGGCTTTGTGCACTGCTGCTGCTGCTGCTTCTTGCTCCTCCTGCCTCCGCCGCTCCGGGTCAGCCTGGCAGCGGCCAAGCAGCTGCTGAGGTACCGGCTGGCCGAGGAGGGACCCGCCGACATCCGCATCGGTAACGTGGCCGCCGACCTGGGCATCGTGACGGGCTCCGGAGAGGTGACATTCAGCCTGGAATCAGGCTCCGACTACCTCAAGATCGATAACATGACCGGGGAGCTGAGCACCACGGAGCGGCGCATCGACCGCGAGAAGCTGCCGCAGTGCCAGATGATCTTCGACGAGAACGAGTGCTTCTTGGACTTCGAGGTGTCGGTCATCGGCCCCTCGCAGAGCTGGGTGGACCTCTTCGAGGGCCGGGTCATCATCCTGGACATCAATGACAACACCCCCACCTTCCCTTCCCCCGTCCTCACGCTCACCGTGGAGGAGAACCGGCCCGTGGGGACCCTCTACCTGCTCCCCACCGCCACCGACAGGGACTTCGGCCGCAACGGCATCGAGCGCTACGAGCTGCTGCAGGAACCCGGAGGGGACGGGGGACGGCGCGGCGGCGGCGCTGGCGGCGGCGGCGGCGGCGGCGGGGGCGGCGGCGGCGGGGGCGGTGCTGCGGCGGCCGGCTCGGAGAGCGCCCTCTACCCCGGCGGCAGCAAGCGGAGGCAGGAGGCGGAGGCCCGCAGCAGCGTGTTTGAGCTGCAGGTGGCCGACACCCTGGACGGGGAGAAGCAGCCGCAGCTGATCGTCAAGGGGGCGCTAGACCGTGAGCAGCGGGACTCATACGAACTGAGCCTGCGCGTGCGCGACGGCGGCGAGCCCGCGCGTTCCTCACAGGCCATCCTGCGCGTGCTGATCACCGACGTGAACGACAACAGCCCCCGCTTCGAGAAGAGCGTCTACGAGGCCGACCTGGCGGAGAACAGCAGCCCCGGGACCCCCATCTTGCAGCTGCGAGCCACCGACCTGGACGTAGGGGTGAACGGGCAGATCGAGTACGTCTTTGGGGCAGCCACTGAGTCGGTGAGGCGGCTGCTGCGGCTGGATGAGACCTCAGGGTGGCTCAGCGTCCTGCACCGCATTGACCGTGAGGAGGTTAACCAGCTGCGCTTCACCGTGATGGCCCGTGACCGTGGGCAGCCCCCTAAGACGGACAAGGCCACGGTGGTGTTGAACATCCGTGATGAGAATGACAATGTGCCCACCATTGATATCCGGAAGATTGGGCGCATCCCACTGAGGGATGGAGTGGCCAGCGTGGCTGAGGACGTGCTGGTGGATACCCCCATTGCCCTGGTGCAGGTATCAGATCGGGACCAAGGCGAAAACGGTGTGGTGACCTGCACCGTGGTGGGGGATGTGCCCTTCCAGCTCAAGCCAGCCAGTGAAGGTGAAGGGGAGCCACAGAACAAGCGCAAGTACTTCCTCCACACCTCAGCCCCTCTGGACTATGAGGCTGTACGTGACTACAATGTGGTGATCGTTGCTGTGGACTCAGGCAGCCCCAGCTTGTCCAGTAACAACTCCTTGCTAGTGCGAGTCGCAGACACTAATGACAACCCTCCTGTGTTCGGCCAGGCTGTGCTGGAGGTTTCTTTCCCAGAGAACAATCTGCCTGGTGAGAGGGTGGCCACAGTTGTGGCCACAGATGCAGACAGTGGCAAGAATGCCGAGCTCACCTATTCCCTGGAGCCCTCACCCCTCTCCTCAGAGTCACCAAGCGGCATCTTCAGCATTGACCCCGACTCTGGGGATGTGTCTGTGCAAGTGGTGCTGGACCGTGAGCAGCGTGACACCTATGAGTTCCAAGTGACGGCCCGAGACAAAGGGGTGCCATCACTGCAGGGCTCCACCATGGTGGTGGTGCGGGTGGCAGATCGCAATGACAATGAGCCGCGCTTCATGCAGGATGTGTTCACTTTCTACGTGAAGGAGAACCTGCAGCCCAACAGTCCCGTGGGCATGGTGACTGTGATGGACTTTGACAAGGGGCGTAATGCTGAGCTCAGCCTCTCCATACAGCCCAGTGATCATGACCAGGCGACTGGCATCTTCTCCATTGAAAATGACACAGGAACCATCTACTCCACAGTCTCATTTGACCGGGAGCAGCAGACCAGCTACACCTTCAAAGTGAAGGCAGTGGATGGGGGTGAGCCGTCACGTTCGGCCACTGCTACTGTGTCCCTCTTCGTAATGGATGAGAATGACAATGCGCCCACTGTTACCTTCCCCAGCAACAGCTCCTACACTGTGTTGCCACCCTCCAGCAACATGCGCACTGTAGTGGCCACGGTGGTTGCAACTGATGCTGACACCGGACTCAATGCTGACCTCAACTACAGCATTGTCGGAGGAAACCCCTTCAAGCTCTTCGAGATTGATCCAGCCAGTGGAGTGGTATCACTGGTGGGCAAGCTGGCCCCTAAGCACTATGGCCTGCACCGCCTCGTTGTGCAAGTGAATGACAGTGGCCAGCCACCCCAGTCAACAACTGCCCTGCTCCACGTCTTTGTCAATGAGAGTTTGTCCAATGCCACCGTAGTGGAGGGCCAGGTGGCACGTAGCCTTCACACACCTCTGGCTCAGGACATTGCTGGTGATCCCAGCTATGAGCTGAGCAAACAGCGCCTCAGCATTGTCATTGGTGTGGTGGCTGGCATCATGACTGTCATCCTCCTCATCCTGGTGGTGGTCATGGCCCGCTACTGCCGCTCCAAGGGCAAGCATGGCTATGAGGCTGGCAAGAAGGACCATGAGGACTTCTTCACCCCACAGCAGCATGACAAGGCCAAGAAGCCCAAGAAGGACAAGAAAGGCAAGAAGGGCAAGCAGCCTCTCTACAGCAGCATCGTCACTGTCGAGGCCTCCAAGCCCAATGGGCAGCGCTATGACAGCGTGAATGAGAAGCTCTCGGACAGCCCTGGCATGGGCCGCTACCGCTCAGTCAATGGTGGCCCGGGCAGCCCCGACCTAGCCCGGCATTACAAGTCGAGCTCACCACTGCCCACCGTGCAGCTGCACCCGCAGTCCCCCACTGCTGGCAAAAAGCACCAGGCCGTGCAGGACCTGCCCCCTGCCAACACCTTCGTGGGCGCTGGTGACAACATTTCCATTGGCTCGGACCACTGCTCCGAGTACAGCTGCCAGGCCAGCAGCAAGTACAGCAAGCAGGTAAGGGCAGCGCCCCGCGTCGGGCACGCACACATGCGAGCACACGGTCATGCACACATATTGCATAAGGGTTGGCGGTGTCTGTCACCGTCAGATGCATCACCCCTTCAGTCTGGTGCCGGGAGCATACCTGGACACACACCAGGCAGGAAGGACGGTCAGGGATGGCTGTTTTTACTATTTCCGTTGTAAATCCCACTTTGCAGAGCCCACACCGACTCTGTGGTACCGCCCCTGGGAGGTGCCGGGCGTGGAGCCCCCCTCCCTCACAGCGCAGCCGGACTGGGGGCGGGCCGTTAACTCAGGCGGCGAGCTGCGCGCAGCCCGGGATGACCCTTTGTCGGCTCCCGCAGCCCGTTAGGTCCCGTTGTTGGGGAGGTGGGCAGGAGCACCGCCTGGGTTGTCCGGCGCAGCCCAGCAGTCTCACTCGGGGATGGGGAGGGTCTGAGTCCCAGGCGTGCGGTGAGCTCCGGCTGGGGACTGAAAGTTTCGCATTTAAGAGGGTCAGTGAGAGTGGGTGTGCAACCGCCGCTCTGAAACGCAAATGGCTGTAATTATCAGCTCGTTCATTAGGATTGCGGCGCTTTCACAATCTAGAAAGCCTATAAATGGTCTGATATAGATCACTGAGATTTTACTGATGTTCAGCAGTTGCTCTGAATACACACAAAGGTTAGTGAGCTTAGAATCGGACCTTAGCATGCTTCCGTTCCTCTTTTTTTCTTCCCCCGTTTTTTCTTCCCTTAATGCACATCACATGAAAGTCATTAACTCAAAGCGAGGGGCCGTAATTTTCCAGTCCAGCTTCTGCACGGCTCTGCTAGCAGAGCGGCTGCTTTCCCCGAGAGCAATGAGAGCGCACTGAGCCTTCCTCGAGCAGCGCTCTCAGTGCCCGGCTCTGATCTCGGCTGTGCCGTGCAGGTCGGTGCAGTGAGGCCCCAGCAGAGTAAAACTGCTAATGGCAGGAACTGCTTTACACAGAGGGCTAGCATAGCGGGGAAAGGAGATCCTAAATGAAAGGTTTGTTAATTTTATAAGGCACATATGTAGCCTGAACAGAAATGATTTTCTTTTTGGGCATACTTTTACGGATTGTGAAATGAGGTATTTTAAACGCTGGGTGATTCCCTTTGCATCCTTCCGTGTAAGATAATATTCGAAGTGTGTCCTCTCAGCTCCAGCGTGTGTTACACAAGAATCTAGAGATAAATGAATGCTGATTCATGTGAATAGAGAGCCAAGCCTGAAACAGGAACACACTGATTAGTTTGACAAAAATGCTTTATTTCCACCTTATTAACATGCAAATATGGTACAGTATGACATTTTTTATACTTTGAAATGTGTGTTAGACTACTACAATTGAAGTTTTACACTGTGTAACCAGTACTTGTATTCTGTGCAGGACAAAAAAACAAAAACAAAAACAAAAAAAAAAAAAAAAAAAAAAAAAAGAAAAGAAAAGAAAAGAAAAAAGATTTATAATGTAAAAGGAAATGAAGTCACACCGTCTTCCAGATCAACAATAGTTTGTGGCTGAAGTATTTTTGCCAGTATTTCTGCATATGTCACGCAGATGTTTTATAGAACATTTGATGTGGTAGTTTCTGGGTGATATATTTCATTACCTCTGGAGGTAATCTTATAATTTCAGTTTTAAAATACAGTCTTTGTAAAATACAAAGTACTGAAAAAGTTCCAGAGCTTCCATCTAGTAAGACTTATTAAGCACAAAGCAGATTGTGCCTTTTTAGTGAGTACTGGACCAGCGAAGTAGAAGTGAAACAAATGCTGATCAGATGCTACTTCTGTCTTGCTGCTGCAATTCATCTAAACACGAATTAAAAACTGTCAGAAGTGTAATTTATTTTCAGTGTAAAAGAATGACTTGCATGCTAAATTTGCCAGTGGTAAAGGATTGCAGCTTACTATTATGCTTGATTAATAACCTTATCAGAAGTTATGTTACAAAAATACTCTTTGGTTTACTTAATGTTCTGCAAGCATATATTTTTGATACATAATCTTTCTTCTTTGTAGAAGAAAATGGCTTTATTACACTTCCACTTGCAGCAGTCAAACTGAAAGAATGTATTCTTAGTTGCTCTGTTATTTACTTGCTTTTTACGTAGCTAGTTTCCCAGTGTTTGTGAGGTTCCCTGTGCTAAATGTGTAGCTTGTGAAAGTGAGTGTACCTGAATAGTTTATAGCAGATGGTCTAATGCCTTGTCCTTGAATTTTTAAATACGTGGAAAGTACTTGTATGCTTGTAAAGTGTGCTTCTTAGTTAAGGAAAGTTTCTTAATAAGAATTTAAAGCAGAGAATCTCGGGCATAAAACTTCTGCTAATGGTTTCTTATGAGTACTTACCAGCTTGATACTGAGTGATGTTTATGTAGTTTTGTTCTTGCTTTTGCTCTCATGAAGAGATATTTGCATTAATAAGATGTAGATCTTTCGCTTCTCAAACATTGATAATGGAGTATTTTATCTGTTTATCAGGAAAAAGTACACTAGCATTTTTAACGCTCAAACCAGGTGAAATACTTGTTTGGCATGTTCTTGAGAGAGTGATGTGAGACAATTGCAGATAAATGTGTATGATGTAGTGTATATTGGAGTGTTTCATAGTTCAGCTGTCCATATGAAATAGAGCCAATGGCATAGTAATGTGACCACGATAGGGAGATTAGGTGAAATGCCTCTGGTTGCCTTTATTTAATTATTGACAGTTTCCTTTGTTCTAAGGAGATTTTAAAGGATGTGTGAAGCTTTAAAATAAATAAGTGGACATAGCTGGATGTATTTGTTCTAAGTTATTAGAGATGAGAGCAATGCTCATTTTCCATTAATGTAGTTAGAACAGGTAATTGATACTTCCACATATTCACAGTATCACTGTCAGGAAAGTAAATCTCTACTTAGGTGACTGATTGGTGTTCCCCAGTGAATATAAGCTGTTTTCATTCTTATCATTTGACACTTCCTTTTTAAGGTAGTGTGTTACACATGCGTTCCCAAATACATCTTGTTTGATAAAATGCGTTATAGTAGAAATAAATGGGAGAAAGCTAAAAACAATTTGTAACTCCCCTCCTTTAAGTATTTTATATGAAGATTAAAGCTGAATTTTGCATTTGATACACTTTCTTTTCTGGAAGATGTTCTAGATGTTTTCTAGAAGGTGTCCAAATGCAATTTTTTTTTTAAACTTACCCTTGTCCTTTTCTGCATAGTAGTATTCTCTGAAATTTTCTTTTAGCCTCCCACTTTGCTGTTCTGTCCTATTCTGTAAAGCTCTTACACATCTGGCAAGCTAATGTTTAAATCCCTTAACGTTTCATCAATCTTAATAATTTGCTCAAAGTTAAACTTGTACAGAAGTATTGTGCTGTATCAGGATGCATCTAAGAAAATGTTTTTTGGATTGTAGATGTAAAATTTGAACCCTCCTGGTGCTGAACATTGCCAGTCATCGCCCAGGGTACTGTCAACTTCTAACAAAGACAGCAAAGAAAGCCCAGTGCATAGCAGCAATCGCTCAGTGATTTGGAGAATTGCATCCTTAAATATAATTCTAAATCTTACTTTACTATATTTCCTCAAATTAGTTATAAGTATTTTTTTTTTTAGTACATACTGTTTTCTGCACTTTCATTGCCATCAAACTAATAGCAGGTGAGTGGATTTATTTCACTGAAATTTCTCATAGTGACTATGAGATTAGCATGTTAATGACCTCTCTTTGAAGAATAAGCCTTTTTGAAGAAAAGCCTGTTTATATGTGTATTTATTTTTTATGTTCATCATTTTCTCTTAACTTCTCTCTTATTTTTTCCACTCAACAAAGAATGTTTTTTGATTACATGAAAGACTGTGCTTTTTACTTTATTTACGCATTTTTTACCTAAGAGCTGCAGGTCACCATCTTCAGCTAGAAGAACCAGTACAGGGATTTCTGAGCAGCATTATTACTTTTCTTGGAGTATATTCTTTTCTGATCAGTTCTTTGTGAATTGCTCCTATGCCTTTCCTCGTTTGAAATGTGCTATTGAGTGAAGAGAAACATTTAGGACATCAGAGTGTGCTGACACACTAATCAAGGCTGAATACGTGTCTTGATGTTACAAAAGCAACTTGGGATGTTCCATGACTAGGGAAGAAATGGAACTTGAAGTAAATTTACAAACATTTCACCAAAATTTAATTTCTGAGAAGGTAAAATATATAAAAATAATTTTTTGAAGAACTTTTTTTGTAAAGTAATTTAATAATCTGTTTCATAATCTTCCAAATGTTATCCAGTCTGTTGCACTGCAGGTGCGTTTTGGCTACTTGATTATTAGGCAGTTGAATTGTATCTATTCATATAAATTGGTTAGTTTCCTTATAAGCATGCACATGTAACAAGAGCCGTAATGGGAACCAAAATTGATATATTAAGGGATCAATCTGCTTAACAGTGCAGGAAAGCATGCTTTTTAATGTACAGACAGACACATACATGCGTAAACTTAGATCAAAGACTGCCATTTAAAATCACGTAGCACCTTTCAGTAGTAAAGTTTTTCAATAACTTTCACTTTAATAAACATTCTACAATGTAATAGAAACACTGGGTAATGTGCAGAAAAAAAATAAGAACTTGTTCTTAAATGCTTGCGTTATAAACACTTGCATTGGTAGCTTTTTAAAAATATCTTTTTAAAGATATTTAACTTCAAAACTGTTCAGAGCAAGGTGTCCAGAAATGTATTTCAGTTTTCTATTCTCAGTTTGCATTATATTAAATATTTTACAATGAGTTTTTAAAAGTGATCCACATTTGACCTTCAGTAACAAATTATGATGAAAGAGGGGCTAATTAAACATAAAATAGATAGATTGTTGATGCTTTCATTATCTGTATTTAACACAAAGTGTTCTGCTGATAAGTACAGTCTTTATTTTTTTTCCCCCTTTAGTAAAATAATCTTGTAGAGTGTGCAAATGACTAAGTT